AAGGAATATACTCCAGCTGTGTTTTAAAAAACAATGGAAAATGCCTCCTAAGTTTTCCTATAGCAAAAACTTTGATAATTTTCAATCAAGACTAGCAGGGATTAAGAGAAAGACAGTTGTGAATACTGCTGTGGAATTAGGGTGATATTTTTGTCTGCATTTTTTATATATTTTGATTTTCTTTTTCAACTAAATATAATTATTTATTTTTTACATCATCCTTCATGTTGTGCATTGAGAGGAAATTTTGCACACAATGCAAATGTCAAAACTCAACAAAAATAAAGTGAAAAAGCCTCATCAAAAAATGGGTAGAAGTGGCCCTCCCTAGTGGCTCAGCGGGTTAAAGCACAGCACTAAGAAGCTAAAGCCACTTCCGCATAAGTTCGATTCCTGCCTGCCCTGGAGGTGACCACATGGCGCAGCAGACCTCTCCTGACCCGCCTGCTGCTCCCTTCAGCAGTGTACTTCCTCAATCTGCCTGTTCTACTCCCCACTCTGTCTCTGGTAAAGACTCTCGCCGCCCTGAACCTCTGGTCTGTACCCCAGTTCTGTATGCACAAATAAATAAGTCTTTAAAAAAAAATGGCTAGAAGAGCTAAAAAGACACTTCTCCAAAGGGGAAATTCAGATGGCCAACAGACATATGCAAGACTGTTCAGCATCACTGGTAGTAAGGGAGATGCAAAACAAAACCACAGTGAGATACCATCTCACACCAGTGAAAATGACACATCTTTAAAAAAAACTGTGAGAGTTGGTGGAGCAATGGGTTAGGACACAATACTGCAAGTGAGCCGTAGCCACTTCAGTGTGAGTTCTGTCCCTGGCCTCTCCTGCCACACCAACTGCTCCCCTCAGCAGTGTACTTTGTTGATCTGCCTGTTCTGCTCCCCACTCTGTCTCTGGTGAATCCTCTCACCGCTCCTGCTCCTGCACCTGCGGCCTGTACCACGGTTCTGTATGCACAGATAAATAAGTCTTAAGAAAGAATGTAAAAAAAAAATCAGTTCCAAGCCTTCTCTGGTGGCGCAGTGGGTTAGGACGCAGCACTGTAAGCTACTTACAGCCGCTTTAGTGCAAGTTCTATCCCAGGCCCCGGAGGTGATTCACATGGCGCAGCAGACCTTTTCTGTCTCCCTGCTGCTCCCCTTAGCAGTGTACTTTGTCTATCTGCCTGTTCTGCTCCCCACTCTGTCTTTGTTGAAGCCTCTCACAGCTCTTGTACCTCCGGATTGTATCCTAGTTCTGTATACATAAATAAATAAATCTTAAAAAAAAAAAAAACTGTGGGAGGATGTGGAGAAAAAGGAATTGACAAGGGGCCAATATCAGAGGATGACAAAGAACTCATGCAGCTCACAGGCATGTACTTACTTCTTTAATTAACTGAAATAATCCCAATCCTCCTTCCAGATTCAGTATAATTAATTGTTTGTGAAGAATAATTAACCTACTCAAAAAGTTGTAACCACTTTTTTTAAAAAAAGATTTCCTTATGCATACAGAACTGGGATACAGGCCTGAGGTGCAGGGGCAGTGAGAGGATTCACCAGAAACAGAGTGCAGAGCAGAACAGGCAGATGGACGAAGTACACTGCTTAGGGGAGCAGCAGGCAGGCCAGGAGAGGTCTGCCGACCATGTGGATCACCACCAGGACGGGAATTGAACTCATGATGAAGTGGGTTTAGCTTTTTAGTGCTGTGCCACCAGTGAGGGCCCTGTAACTACTTTTTAAGTCCACATAGGCAAATTAAAGAATCAGCTGTATATTGCTTTTACTTTTTTCTTTTTTAGTGAGTTTAGTCCATTAATATTTAGGTTGATTATTGATAGATGGAAATCTGTTATTGCTATTTTGGTGATTGTTCTGTGGTTCTATTCACTATCTTGTTCCAGTCTTCCTGTTCATTCCTCTGTTGCTTTACATTTTAAGACTTCTTGTGATATTTCTTGGAGTGGGGATTTAGTTGTAGCTGATTTTTGAAGTTATAGTTTGTCTGAGAAGTTCCTTATTGGTCACTTACAGAGGAAGGAGAGCTTCGCAGGACAAAATATTACTGGTTGACATTTTTGTCTCGAAGATTTCTAAATATGTATCTTCATTCTCTTCTTACCTGTAGTGTTTCTTCAGAAAATTCTGACGTCACCCTGATTGGATTTCCTATATCAGTTATCTGCTTCTTTCCCTTGTCAGCTTCATTAATTTATTTCTGTCTAGAAATCATAGGAGGTTTTCTGTTCTGTGTAATTCTGTAATTTTCTTTAACCTTGGTACTTTAGTACTTTAGTTTCCTGTATCTCTGTTTTCATTTCTTTATTCAAGTTTGAGATATTCTTTTCAATTATTTCCTTGTATAGTTTCTCATTTCCCTTGGCCCTCTCTATTCCCTCTGAGATTCCTATAGCCCTTATATTTCCTTTCCTCGTGTAGTCAGATAATTCTTCATTCTTTAGTCTTTATTCCTCTATTTGTTTTTCCTTTTTGGCTTCAAGAGTACTGACTCGTTATTCCATTTCATCTATGCCATCTCTGTGTTTTTCCCAGATTTTTTTACTTCCTCTTCCGTCTTTTAAACTCCTCCTATTCCTTTACTATCTTACTTAAAGATTCAATCTTGTTATTGTGTTCATTGATTATCTGTCTCCATATCATCCTGTTCCTTGTCTGCCTCTTTCAACTTTTAATTAAGATGATTCTGAATTCTTTATCCATCGAGCAGAGAAATTCTTCCATATCAGTATCATTGTGCTCTGGAAGCTGATTTTATTTCTGTGGTGTATTGTTCCCAGGGGGACTTTCTTGATCGCTGTATTTTTCTTTCTCCCCATAGTTTCCTTTCATGTTTTTCTTGATGTAGGGCCATGTGATTTGTGTGCTTTTCCAGAGCATGAATGTCGGGTACAAGCCCCGATTTCAGGCTATCGAGCGGCTGACACAGGCAGGGGCTCAAGGTGGGAACGACTTCCACAAGGCTATATTCTAAAAATTGGGGAGTAAAGGGGAGCAGGAGTGAGGAAGACATGGGAGTCGGAGTTGGGTGCAAATCTTACTGCTCTGCCTTCAGCAAAGGTTCAGTTTATACACTTCACGCAGGCAGAGGAATGACATTAGCATATGAAGTGAGCTGAAATCACAATCACCATTTTTCTAAGAATAGTCTGGCGTCCTTTTGACCTTTACTTCAGATTCTAACATTCTAACATCAATCAAGGTTAAAAAACAGGTACATAGGTGCACAAAGTTTAAGACTAATATTACTATAGTGAAGAATGATAAAAATAAAGTCCCTTTAACCTTATCTATTACTTGATGGTTTTTTCTACCTGAGACATCCTGGGAGGCAGGAACAGGAAATTTCTTGCAAATCAACTTTCTGAAAAGTTCTTTGAAAAAACTTGCTGGCCCTCCCTGGTGGCTCAGTGGGTTAAAGCACAGCACTGAGAGTCTGGAGCTGCTTCGGCATGAGTTGGAATCCTGCCTGCCCGGGAGGTGACCACATGGCGAGGCAGACCTCTCCTGACCAGCCCGCTGCTCCCCTCAGCAGTGTACTTCGTCGATCTGCCTGCTCTGCTCCCCGCTCTGTCTCTGGTGAAGCCTCTCACCACCCCTGAGCCTCTGGCCTGTACCCCAGTTCTGTATGCACAAATAAATAAATCTTTAAAAAAAAAAAAAAGAAAGAAAGAAAAAACTTGCTAAAAGGTTTTAAGTGAGTTTCATTGAGGTCTAGACAGCCGAAAGCATAATTTGCTCTGAATAGGAGACATAGGTGAATTTCTTGTCTAAAGACTAGATAGTAGAATCCTGAAAGACTAGCCAGAAGACCTTTTGTGGATTGCTTTGAGGTATAGCAGGTAAAAAACTTGACTAGCTCTAAAACAGGCAACCTGGATGAATTTCCATAACTAAGACAGTAGGAAGTTTGAGTAATTCTTTTAGAAGCTGAACAGAAGGCTAGGTGAGATAGTAAAGTGATAAGATTGGGGTTTTCCTCCATCCTGCAGTGCTAGAGACTTTGCAGAAACAGCCCTTTTGCTTTTATTGATCAGCCAGTTGTCAAGTCACTTTTGACTTCTGAGGAATTTCTCACGCTGGTGCAGTGCTTGCTTGTTAGGGCAGGCAGGCCTTATGTGGCTGACAATCCAATTGTAAGCTGAAAGTTGCTCAGAATATTTTGATATTACGATTATACAAAAAAGGGAGGTCATAACATAAGTTAGGAGTGGAAAGTCTGATTTTTCAGAGCTTTTCCCGATCTACCCGGAATCGATAGACGTTGCATAGCTTGTGTCACATGAGAGAATTGGCGTCAGTTCTGAGCGATGGGACCTCATGTAAAGGCCAGTGGATGGATGTGCACTCTGCCTGGACCACTGTTGCAGCTCAGGAGATTCAAGGGTGGGGGATTACCTTGGTATGCATTGACCAGACCCCTGCTGCTGGCAGCTGGGCATCCTAGAGCTCTTACCATGGTGTGTGTGGGTCTGCACAGTGTCTGGACTGCCGTGGCAGTTGGGTAGGATTGGGGGCTCTTACGGCTTCCTTGGACAACCAAACTGTTTCAGGATGCAAAGGCCCTTGATGGAGGGCATCACGAAGCTCCTGCTTTAGCCCTGTCCTCTGGCGGCACAGCAGGCTGAGTGGAGAGCACTTGCTGGTGTAGCAGGCGACCCGACACAGAGCACAACAACTGGGAGGTTCTGCTTGTGGCCCGGTCTGCTTGGAGGCTTGGGCTGGTTGAGTTGTGCTGCTGTCACTTGGTCTTTCAAGATGCAGTCAGTGCTCCAGAGGGTCTGGTGGCTGGTGTTCTGGCCCTGCTTTAGGTGGCACCCAAGGGCCAAATGGGATGCACCTCTCAGCAGGGTTTACTCCTCAGTTGCATCTCAGGGAAAAGAAAAAAAGGCGGGGTGGGGGAATTAAGTTCTAACCTCTCCCATCGAGATGGCATCTCATTGGTCTCCTTGCTCACTTGAGGATATCTGAGGGTTCCAGATGTACCATCGTAGGCTACTGGGGGTTCTTGGCTGCCCAGTCTGGGCAGGAAGATGTTGCTTTGCAGACTGGACTGGGCTTCGCCCATTCTGCCAAGTGTCTGCAGAGAATCACTTCCTTTTCCCCTCTCTGCCCCCTTTTGTTTCTTGGGCATCCTGGAGAGTTGCTGCTTTGAAGCATCTGGGTTTTGCTAGCTCATTATCAGCCCTCCCTTTAGCTGCTTTTAGGAAAGAGGTTGATCCCAGGCTCCCTATTTATGATGTTGCAATGTCATTCTTATAGTTCCTGCCTGGGCTCAGCATCTTGGTGAAGAGCTTTTCTCTCCCTGCAGATGACTATTTTCTTTGGCTCCACTGGTGGCTGGTCACCCCTAGAGCAGACCTGTGAGCTTCTGCTGTGAGGAGCCACATATTTAGATCTTGGACACATTTGGGCACAAATAATTTGTCAAAATTATTTGAGGAATGAGAGCAGGAAATTTGGTTTACAAAGGAAAACATTTTCCAAGAAAATGTTTTAGGCAGATGTCAATAGCAGCTATCAGCTACAGGAGAGAAGCAACACTTGGGATTCCCTGATTGATCAGTTAAAGAGCAACAAATCTAAAGATAACATACAAGATATAACTAAATAAATGCAAAATCAAGCAGTACATCTGTTGTTGAATGCTGATTGCATCCTCATTGCACACACTTTGTATCAGTTATATCAGCTACATGGAAGAAAAAACAAGACATCCTGGGTCTTTCAGAAGAGGTATTGCTGCAGTCTACCCTTTTGGAGTGGTTCTGTCCATGTAATTGGTCACCTTCACTGGCAACCTCCTCGTCATAGTGGCTAGCATCACTGTCCCTCACCTTCACACTTCCTCTCTATTTTACAGACACAACTTTCACCACCTCCACCACCATCCCAAAGATGCTCCTGAACATCCAGACTCAGAGAAAATTCATGACCTCTGAAGGCTACCTCACCCAGATATACTTTCACCACCTTTATGGAGGCTTAGACAGCTTTCTGTGACAGCAGTGGCCTGTGATCAGTTTGTGGCCATCTGCCATCCACTCCAATATATGACCATCATGAACCCCAAGCTCTGTAGTGTCTAGTTTCTTGCCTCCTGGTTACTGAGTATTCTGGATACTCTATGACAAACCTTAATCTTTGTATGAATGTCTTTTGTACACAACTGGAAATCCCTCTTGTTGTGAACTTACTCATGTGATCCAACTCGCTGTTCTGACACCCTCTTCCGTAATTCTAATGTTTGATTTCTAATTATCTTATTTGGCTTTAGTGTAGAAAATAATTTCACTGTCTGGATTTTCAGCAACATACAAATAATATAGAAATTTTACTTTCTTATAATATTACAGGGAGAGAGAGGGGAATAAAAGTGTAACGTTTCCTCTGTCATATGAAAGTAGCTACTCTGATGATGCCCTGTGTTGCAGAATGTTAGACCTTCATTTATTTCATGCTAAATATTCTGTCATTTTTATTATTACATTTTGTCTATCCATTTATTTTTGATGGACACTTTCTTGTTTCCATGTTTTGGCTATTGTGTATAATGCTGTTAAGGACACCTATGTAGAAGTGTTGGTTGTAGCCCTCGTCTTCAGTTCTTTTATCATTATAACCAGGTATCTGACTGGAAATGAAATGACTTGGCCACATGGTAGTTCTTCACGTTCCTCAGGATCGACCACACTGAGTCTTACAGCAGCTGCGCCACTTCCCCTTCCCCCAGCAAAGCCCCAGGCTTCCAACTACTCCATAAGCTTGCCAACGCTTATTTTCTGTTTTAGTTTATTCTTATTTTTGTTTTAATTGAAGTTACCATTGGTTTGCATATTTGTTAGCGTTTTGGAAGCATAAGACTCTGACGCAGATGTGGTCACAGAAGGGCACTCAGCCCCCGAGCACCTGCAGTCACCCACCCTGATACACTGCCCTCTCTCCCCACCCTCTTCGCAGCCCTTTCCCTCCGCTCCCCTCCTACTCTGGAGTCCTCCTTCCATCTGCAGCTTTCAAGGGTTATTTTAAAATTTATCTTTGCCTGACCCTGTGTTTGATTTCTCTGTTTTCCACATGTAAGTGACACTATCTGGTATTTTTCTCCTTCTGGCTTATTTCACTTTGCATAATCCCTTCCAGCTCCATCCATATTACCGCAAATCACATGGGTGTATCTTTCTTGCTCATTGAGTAGTATTCCATGGAGTACATGTACAATGTCTTCTTGATCCACTCATCCTATTTTGGGAATTTATGTTGTTTTCTATATCTTGGACACTGTTGCTTAAATACAAGAGTGCAAGCTTGCCTTTAAATTAGTGTTTTTGCATTTAGAAAGACATCTAGAAGTAAAATTTCTGGATCATATGACAATCCTATTTTCCTCTCTTGAGTAAGCTTCATGCTGCTTCCCATAAGGGCTAGACAAGTCTACATGCCCACCAGGAGTGTAAAAGAGATCCTTTTCTCCACAATCTTGTTAGCACTTGTTTCTGGTCTTCCTGATATGGGTCATGTGGAACCCCCAGCCCTCCTTATTCTTGGGAATATTGTCTTGTCTTGGTGCCCAGAGTTCCTACTTATCATCTAGGTGTAGGATCAGGCAGGTGCCTCTCCCCAAGGGCATAAATCTAAGTGTGAGGAACATAATGGGAAACCAGAAACTGTTAATAACAGCAGTCAGATATTTGAATAGAGATGATATGCTTGGACTTGTAGGAATAATGGAGCCACTCAGGCTATAGCTCCTGATTATTCCACCCTCACTTACATCCCTAAACCCATCACCATGGATGAACACTCCCTCTGTGCTTGCCCCACCTTGGCACTCAATGCCAATAAATATGAGGGCTGTGCATTATTTCCATTGTAGCCCCTCAAGGCTTCTCCTTGCTCCACATGGACTTTGAGTAACCCTTTCCCTCATCCAACTCCACTTCCAGCACTGCCACCCTGAAAGGCGAGACTGAGATACAATTTCTATTTCCTGTGTGGCTTCTCTGGTGTTGCCTCTCAATCACTGGGTCTCACTGCTTCAACAGCATCTCCCCTTGATGGTTTCTCATTATCCCATTTTATAGAAAGGTATCTATCTCATTCAACCATCTGGTGCTTAAGCTTTCTATAAATATTTATTAAATAATTACCTTATGGTAATTATGTTCAGGGGTGAAAAATAATAGCAAGATCTTTTTCTTACCATTAGGAACTCATGGTTTAAGTTAGAAATAATCATGGAAAGAAGTAAAAGCAATGTATACAGCAAATTCTGTAATCTTCCTATATGGATCACAAGGTAGTGACCACTTCCTGAGTATATTAGTTAATTCTTCATACACAAACCAATAATTGCACTGAATCTAGGACTGGAATTGTAACAGGGTGGTCCCCAGGAAAAGGGGAAGCTCCTGGTCCCCTGCCGCACCCAGAAAGAGGGTGGAGCTGAGCAGAGGAGAGAAGGATTCTGAGGAAGTAGGAAGCAGAATAGAGACCCAGAAGAAGACCTGAGGAAGCCACATGGAGCAGAGGGATATGTGAAGAAACTGCATTTGCTTCTTGGTCCTGGACTGGTTGGAACAGATGTGAGTGAGGGACTGTGGGGAGGTCGACTATGGCAACTTTTATCTTGATTTTGATTTTGCTCTTTTCCTCCCAGACTTGTCTGGCTATATCGGACCCTTTTCTAAGGGTCCCAGCCACAGGATGCTTTAAGTTTGTGGTGGGCTTTTGGGCCTTGCTTTGGGCCAATCCCTTTTGGTTGGAATTTTACCCATGAGGGGTAACTTTGGGTGTTTGATTTAGAAACCATATTCTTTGTCTTTTTTGTGTTACATACTCACGGTATTAAAAATTCCTTCCCATTAAAGCTCTTATGTCTTGTCTTGATGTGGCAGATGGCAGAACCTATTTAGAGCAGGCAGGTTTGGGATGCCCTGCTCTCCCTGCCCTGTAACAGAATTATTTCAGTTGTACAGGAGCATACATGCCAGATTTGCATCTCACTAGTAATAAGTGATGATGAACTTTTTTGTGTATCTTTTGGTCATCTATATGTCTTTTGGAGAAAATGTCTATTCAGGTCTCCCACCCAGGTTTTTAATCATGTTGTTTGTAGTTATTGTAAAGTTTTATGGTTTCTTTATATATTTTAAGCATTAAATATTAATCCTTGTCAGATGTACAATTTTATATTACCTTCTCTTATTCCATCATTTCACTTGATGATAGCATAGTTTCTGTGCAGAATCATTTTAGTTTGATATAGTAAGATTTATTGATCTTTGCTTTGATCTCTGGCTATTGAAGTTGATCACTAAAATATGACTAAGGTTGATGTCAAGGAGCTTACTATCTATGTTTTCTTCTTTGTAGTTTATTATTTTATGTCTAACATAAGTCTTGATCAACTTTGAGTTCATTTTTGTGTATCATGTAAGACAGTGAATTAGTTTTTTACATCAATTAAATTTTCACTATATTTATTGAAGACATTCCTTTGTTCATTGTATGTTTCTGCTTAGGTTTATTTTATTTTTTGGCTAATTTGTTGTAAAGTAAGTGTCTAAGTGTGGATTACTGAATTATTAATTTTATTTCATAGATCTTCAAATACATTGTCTGCCCTTTCTTCTTTCAGAACCCATAGATCAGATGTTATTTCTGCGTGATGTTGCCCCACATTTTCTTTAAGGCGATTTCTAGATTTTTTTTTTTTTTTACATTTTCCATTTGCTGTTTGTTAGCTTTACTTTGACTTTTCTCTTGCTTCCCTGTTTCTCAGCTTCATCAAGTCTGGATTTAAACCCCTCGGTGACTTCCATCTTTTGTATTCTTCAGCTCTTTGACATCTATTTGAGTTTTCTTCTATTTTCTTTGTATTTGTTGGCAGTCATACTTTGCTCAAACATTTTTCACCTGAGTTTGATGAGATTTATGAATGTTACTTTGAAATATCCATTAGGTAGATTACTTATCTACATTTCATGAAGGCCATTCATTGCAGTTTAATCTGGTTTTGTCATTTGAGAAGTGTTCTACTTCCCCTTTTCATTCAAATTTCAGTGCTTG